GACATGTGAAGCAAGCTTGTTCCTAATTTGAACTAAAAAAAAAAAGAATTAAAAAGTAAAAAAAAAAATACCCAGAAATCTCTTATGGTACAAATGATAATAAATTGTCTTGGAGGAAATAGATCTGTATTTTTATTTAGTCGCAGAGAGATTGTTAAATATGTATTTAATGATACAGTAAATGAAAGTAAATTTTGTTGACAAACTTTATCTATTTCCTGTGAAAGGCACACCATTAGTTTTCTCTCTTTTATTTATTTTTAATTTTAACCTTTTAAATGTGTATGGATGTTTTGCCTCCATGTATGTATCTATGTGCCATGTGTGTTCCTGGTGCCAGCAGGGGCCACAACAGGATGTTGTAGTTAAGGTTGTGAGACACCATGTGAGTGCTGGGAATTGATCCAGGGTCCTTGGAAAGATCAGCCAGGACTCTTAACCCCTGAGCTGTCTCACCAGCCCAAAGTTTCCTCTTTTTAAAGTAATGGAGACACTGTCACTTGGTTTTAGTTTTCTGGTCATAAGTTTCAGAAGCTTGAGCAAAAGGAGCTGAGCCCATGAAAAATGCCTCATCTCATTTGGTGATATATGCATTCTTGAAATTTGTTTGTTTCCCCTGACTCAGGTTGTGTGTATTCAAGTGTATGTGTGTATAGGGAAGGTATAATGGAGTTTCTAAGCTGTAAGAAATGTTGCCGTGCTCTGAGTGAGCTGTACTATAAATCAGTCACAGTCCTTATGATGCATTAGCAGTAATATTAGTGTGGCCTGACCTGCTAATGCTTCCCTGTTAGGGAAGTATAAGCACACAGGGGTGATAATGTGAGATATAATTTAAATTTTAAAGATAGGTCAATGTAAATGAGAATCATTTCATTAAAATTTTGGGTATCTAAACCTAGACTCCTCTCTCAGGAAGCTATGATGCTCAGATTATTTTTAAGTGTGGCCACTGATGTTGATAATCCAAAAGCATATTTAATGTATTATCAGAACATTAACATGCTGGGTTTGAAGTAGAAATAAAATTAAAATTTTAATTATTTAAAAAGATTAAATGATGACATAATAAATATTAAACACACGCATATAATTTTAGATATATAGCCGGGTGTTGGTGGCGCACGCCTTTAATCCCAGCACTCGGGAGGCAGAAGCAGGTGGATCTCTGTGAGTTCCTGGTCTACAAGAGCTAGTTCCAGGACAGCCTCCAAAACCACAGAGAAACCCTGTCTCAAAAAGCAAAAAAAATTTTTTTAGATATATAAAATAATATGATTCCTTCAGGCTGTTTCAAACAAAATTATATTAGAAATTTTGGTTTTATGGTTTTGCTTTTTATTCAAAGCAAAAATGTAAGTTTTTGAAAGAACATAATAATAGTGTTTGGATTTAGTGTAATAAATAGATGTGATAGCCATATTATCTTAAAATTAGTTTTAAAAAGTTATTCAATGAGTTTCACCATAGCAGTTTCATGCATATCTGGAATTATACTTTGATATTATTCCCCCCTCTCACTGCCTTTCCTAACCCTTACCACTCCCTGTTTTGCTGGTCCCTCTCCTTCTCTCAAATCAATAAGAGAAAAAAACCCAGCAGTATTTGTCTGTCCATTTCCTGTAATTATCATGATTTAATTTTCCTTTGCAGTTAAAAATAATTTCACTGTGTATGTTCCACATTTTTTCTAATCATCTAAGCTTAGCTAATTTCTTATCTGTAGTGAACAGTGGAGCAGTAACATGGATGTGTAAGGATCTTTATGGTATAGCTCCGTCACTCAGTCATCCTATTTTTAGTTTTTTTGAGAACTTCCATACTGAACTCCATATCAATTGAATCAATTTATATTTACAACAACATATAAAGGCTTCTCTTTCCTCACATCCTCCCCAGGATTTGTTGTCATCTTCTTTCTTAAAGATAGCCACTGTCCTCTGGCTGAGATAGACTCTCTCACATTGGTATTAATTCACATTCCCTTGATGGCTAAAGACAATGAATACATTTTCTAGTACTTAATGGCCATTTGTATTTCTATGTTTGAGAACTGTCTATTCAGATCATCAATGCATTTATTGATTAGATACTTTTTTGGTGGTTAATTTTATAGTTCTTCATACATTCTAGACATTAACTCACTATCTGTTTATAATTGACAAAGACTTTTTCTCATTGAGTGAGCTGTCTACTCTGGTGATTGTTTTCTTTGCTGAGCAGTAGCTTGTTATTTGTAAGTAATCCAGTTGATCAATTCTCATTTTTTTTTCCACTGGAATACATTTCAGTAAACCTCTTCTTTTGTTTAGATCTTGAAGTGTTTTGCAAATATTTCCCTCTACTAGTTTCTAAGCTTCAGGTCTTACTTTAAAGACTTTGATCTATGTTTTGTGTTCCCCCCCCTCCCGTCCCCCGTCCCCCGCCCCCCAAAAGTGAAGTTTTCAAGGTGAAAACTATGAATCTAGTTTTATTTTTCCACATGTGGAAACTCACTTTCCCCATCACCATTTGTTGAAGAGGCTGTGTTCTCTCCAGTGTATGTTTTGAAATAGTGTAAAAAAATCAGGTGGCTAGGCCTATGTGGTTTTATATCTGGGTCTTCTGTTCCATTGATCTATATGTCTGTTTTTATGTCAGCACTGATGGGGGAGGTCCTTCTGTGTATATGTTTGTCTTATTGGTTGATAAATAAAGCACTGTTGGCCAATAGGGAAGCAAGTTAGGCAGGACTAGGAGAGAAGAAGGATTCTGGGAAATGTAGTAAAGGGAGAGAGTCACCATGTGATCCCAGGAAGAGAGGACACATAAGGCCGGCATCCTCGGTAAGATAAGTCCTTATAAAAATATATAGATTACTAGTTATGGTTGATAATTAAGACTGAGCTAGCAAGTAAGAAATCCTAGTCATTGGCCAGCAGCATTGTAGCTAATATAAGACTCTGTGTGTTATTTGGGGGTCCTAAAGCGGCGGCAGAACCCAAGCAACTGGCAGAAGAGTTATCGTTACACAGCACCATGCTGTTCTGTTACTGGATCTCTGTAGTATAGTTAGGATTAGGTATTATGTTACCTCCAGTATTGCCTTTTCTGTTTAGGAGTGTTTTGGCTGTTCTTGGTCTTCTGTGTTTCCATATAAAAGTTAAAGTTGTATATTATAGTTTAATAAAGAATATAATTGGGTTTTTGATGGATTTTGTTCCTGGCTTTCGTGGCATAAATTGCTTTGCTCCACCAGGCCCCCTTGCTATGATGTAATCACATTTCCGAAATCTTTCTTCACTTCAGTTGTTTCTGTCCGATATTTTCATTATAGCGACAGGAAAACTAATGCAGGACAATAGAAGAATTTTCCCAAACATAATGAGGGACTAATGCATTTTTAATGTATATATATTATATTTATATAAAAAGACCAATAATAGCAATATGTTATGCATCAATAGCAGCAACAGCTTTTCCAGGTTCTGCAGTCATTTGAACAAAATTGTAGAGACATCCAGCACACTCCATTTAAAAAAAACAAAAAACAAAACAAAACAAAACAAAACAACAAAAAAGTAAAAAACAAAATCCCAGAAAACAGCACAGTTCTGTTACTCTTGTGGTACTTGGCACCATTTTTTTAAAATTAGTTTCTCAATCATTATCTGGGAGGAAACCATTCTGAGCAACATCATTAAAAACAGCTCTGATAAAGCAGGTCACTACTATGAATCATAAAACAGGTCCACATATGAGTGAGTACATATCATGTTTGTCTTTTTGTGATTGGGTTACCTTGCTCAGAATGGTTTCTTCAAGTTCCATCCATTTTCCTGCAAATTTCGAGATTTCATTGTTTTTTTTCTGCTGAGTAGTACTCCATTATGTAAATGTAACACAATTTCTCTATCCATTCTTCGTTTGAGGGGCATGTAGGCTGCTTCCAGTATCTGGCTATTACAAATAATGCTGCTATGAACATGGTTGAACATATGTCCTTGTTATATGAATGTGCTTCTTTTGGGTATATGCCTAGGAGTGGAATTGCTGGATCTTGTGGTAGACTCATTCCCATTTTCTTGAGGAGTCGTGTCTTTCAGCCATTTTAGATTCCTCTATTGAGAATTGTCTATTTAGTTCTGTACCCCATTTTTTAATTGGATTGTTTGGTGTTTTGGAGACTAGCTTCTTGAGTTCTTTGTATATTTTGGAGGTCAGCCCTCTGTCAGATGTGGGGTTGGTGAATATCCAGTCTGTGGGCTGCTGTTTTGTCTTGCTAACTATGTCCTTTGCCTTACAGAAGCTTCTCAGTTTCAGGAAGTCCCATTTATTAATTGTTGATCTCAGTGTCTGTGCTACTGGTGTTATGTTCAGGAAACGGTCTCCTGTACAGATTAATTCAAGGGTATTTCCCACTTTATCTTCTAGTAGGTTCAGTGTGGCTGGGGTTATGTTGAGGTCTTTGATCCATTTTGACTTAAGTTTTGTGCAGGGCGAAAGGCTTGGGTCTATCTGTAGTCTTCTACATGTTTGCATCCAGTTATGCCAGCACCATTTGTTGAAGATGTTCTCTTTGTTCCATCGTATATATTTGGATTGTTTGTCAAAAATCAGGTGTGTGGGTTAATATCAGGGTTTTCAATTCTATTCCATTGGTCTTTCTGTCTGTTTTTGTACCAATACCAAGCTGTTTTCAGGACTATAGCTTTGTAATAGAGCTTAAAGTTAGGGATGGTGATGCCTCCAGAAGTTCCTCTATTGTATACAGGGTTGTTTTGGCTATCCTGGGTCTTTTGTTTCTCCATATATAAAGTTGAGAATTGTTCTTTCAAGGTTAGTGAAGAATTGTGTTGGGATTTTGATGGGGATTGCATTGAATCTGTGGATTGCTTTTGGTAAGTTTGCCATTTTTGCTATG